GGATGCTGCTGTCCATGGAAGGAGTGTGCAGCCCTCAGGCCCGGGGAGAGTGTGTGCAGCAGGAAGAACCTGCTCTCCAACAGGAATTCAGTTTGTGGGGGCTGGAACCATCTTCTTGGCTCCTAGTTTGGGTGACTGAAATAACCCCTGTGCCAGCACAGGGACCAGCAGCATCCTCATGCCCTCCTTGTGTGGGTCCTTGTTGGTGCCCTGGAATTGGGATGTCTCTCTGCAGGAGTGACCCCACTCCACGCTACTCCTCACCGACAGGTCCAAAGGAGTTCTCTGTCTTTGTCCTGCAGTTCTGATGCCACTGTTGGATCACTGCAGTGTGCAGCCTGATGCCAGGGTCGCCTCCCACCCCTTCTTTGGGCTGAATGCCCAGATCAGGTAAGGCCTGGAGATGTTCTCAGCAAAGGGAAGGGATCTATTTTGCTGGCGGCAGGGATTTTGCATGTTCAGACAGCTAATGGAGGAGCTTGTTTGGGTTCCTTGAGTAGGCTCATTTGGTAATGCCTCATTTGATAATCCATTTGATAATGGATTTCCATAATGGCCTCTGGATCAGTCTGACAGACCCACCTCACCTCATTGTGGACAGGTCAGAAGTTCAGCCTGAATCCTGTTGGTGTATGTAGCGAGGGAGAGCAACGCATGCATCCTCCCAGGGCAGGCTGTCTCCAACCAGTCTGGGCTCCCTGGACACATGGTCTTCCTCAGCATGCAAAGGCTCTCCCCTCGGGTCAGGGCAATGTTCCCTCATTTCATGGCTCTGCTTAGCCTAAAAATAGACAGAGGCAGGAGATCTGGTGAAGGTGGATGGCCACAGCTAGGCAGGAGCCTGCAAGTCCTTGCCTTGTGATTCCCACACCAAAGCCCAGGGCAGGGACAAGCCCTCACCATCCCATGAGGAGGAGGAGGGTTCCGTGAGTAACAACCATCTTCCATAGCCAGTCGCCAGCCCTGAACCAGCTGACGTCCCTGTACGTGGGCAGGACACATGCCTTGTGGAAGGACCCGGCCGTCATGGCCTGGCTGGAGCCCCAGACCCACGAGGTGCTGCGGATGGTGGAGGCCCGGGACCCGCTGGTACAGGAGGCCGAGCACAAGTGAGTGCAGAGGGGCAGCAGGTCCAGTGCCTGGGACAAAGTGGTCTGGCCTGGGCAGCAGTGACCCTGGGGTTGTCTCAGAGCCCCCCAGCTGCTGCTCTGATGCTGAGGGTTACACTGTGGAGGAGGCAGAGGCTCTTCCATGCTTTTCACAAATAGGAATGAAGAGCTGGACCTTCACTTCAAGTCCTGCACTGCTTTCCCCAATCTTGGCTGTCACCTATGCCCTGGAAATGTCCTGGAGAGGGTGGAGGGTGGCTTGGAGGGGCAGGGATGGCCACACAGAGCAGGTGGGAGCTTAGGAACACTTGCCAAGCCCCTGCGCTGAGAAGCAGGAGAGAACCATCAGATGTTGTCCTAAGCCAAGGTCAGTTTGCTCTGCTGAGCACTCTGCGCCACTCTCTGCTCTTTCTCTGGAGCTCAGCAGCTGCCTTTGGCTCACCCTAAGCCAGCTCCATCCAATATGGCCTGTCCCCTGGAGCCAGGGAAGCCGCTGACTCTGTGCTTGGAGCAGCAGAAATGGGAATCTGCCTGCTAAGGGTGCCCTGCTCTGTCCCCTCCCTGCCTCAGGAGGAAGATCCGGTACCAGAGCGCTCCCAGGAACATCTACCGGCATGTCATTCTCTCGGAGATGAAGGAGGCCACGGCAGCCCTGCCTCTGGTGAGGGGCCTGATGGGGCACAGGGGCTGTGGCTGTGCATGGTGTGGTGGCACTTGTGTCCTTATGGGGCACATCTTAACCCCAGGCACCCACCAGACCTCAAGGTGTCCTTCCTGTGGGCATGGCTTCTCCATGTCTCTGTGTTTGCTGCAGCTGGATGTGCAGCCTTCACCCCTTCTCCTTCATCCCTTCCTTCTTCCCCTGCAGGAAGTGACCTCGCAGCCAGTGATGGGTTTTGACCCCCTTCCTCCTCTGGACTCCATTGTTTCCTACACCCGACCGGAAAGGTACCACCTTCACCCCTGGTGCCTGTGCTGGCACAGCCGGAGTGTCTCCGTGTTCCTGGCGTGTTCCCAGTGTGTTCTCAGCACGCCCTCAGCCCTGGGCCAAGCTGCACGCGGGCACTACATACTGACATCTTCCTCTGTGGCAGAGGAAGGGCCATTGTGCTCTCGACAGGCAGAGCTACAGGACAGACTGGTCCAGCTGCTTTCCCTTGTGGTCACTGGCAGCTGTTCCCAGCCCTAGGACAAAAGCCAGGGAAAACATGGGCTGTGGCTGAACTGGGGGAGTTTGGGGTAAATAGAGGTACAAGTACAGCGAGTCCTGGGTTACCCACTGATGCACTCAGCAGAGCTGGAAGAATCATGGAACCCTGGAATGGTTTGGGCTGGAAGGGACCTTAAAGCTCATCATTTTCCACCGCCTGCCATAGGCAGGGACATCTTCCCCTAGACCATATTGCTCCAAGCCCCATCCAACCTGGCTTTGGTAGTGCTCTTAACAACTGGTTTGCTTGGAGTTAAGCTGCCTGGATTAGAAAACCCTGGAAATCTCCCCACTCCTTCCCTCAGATCTAGCTTCATCAGGGCCGTGGTTCTCCCAGTCCTGCCACATTCCCTTGAGCAGTCACGAACTGAGCTGTCCCTTCACTAGGGGGCCACTTTTGTCTTGCAGGACAAGCCATCCATCCAATGAAAGCACTTTATCCCTCTTTTTCCGCTCGCTGTTGCCAAATTTTAACTTGCAGGTGGGTGCACACTGGGCTGTGGGCACATCGTTCCCACTCCGGGAGCAGCTGCAAGCAGCAGCCTGGTGCTGGTCTGGCACCGGCATTGTCTGTGTCCCTGCCACCACAGCATTGCTGTCTTGCAGGGTGACATCCGACACGACGGGGATGACGAGGCCGGGGCAGGGCAGGACCTCAACCAAGGGGTGAACAGGCTGATGGCGGCCATGCGGGACATGCTGGCCAACATTCAGTTCCAGGAGCCCCCCCGCGATGACAATCCCGAGGGCGATGGGGACTGGGATTGAGCCTGGGGTGTCTCTCCCCAAACCCTCTGACATCATTCCCCGATTTGTGTCTCACTCCAATAAAGTCACACAGATGCAATTGCAGTGAGAATGGGCTTTTTCCAAGGAGGGCGCCTGAATCCACAGGGATGGGCCCTGTCCAGGGAGGGGAGCTGCCTCCCTGGGCCTCTCTCCCCTCTCGCAGCAGGAGACAAGGACTGTCTGAGCATGTCCGAGCTAATCAACAGCAGCTGTCCCTTGTCCCCATGGCAGCTTAGTCCCCTTCTGGCCTCCTCCACACACAATTCCCATCCCATTCCCCTCCCCGTTCTTCTGGCTGTTGTCCTTAATTCCCAGAGGGGTTTCTTTACCCTCTCCCCTGGCTCCTTTGTGTTTCCTGCAGCTTCCTTCCCTCCACAAAACACTCTGCACATACTCACCACGCTGACCCTTCCAAAGGTCTTGGAGTGCCCTATGCCACTAGAATTGTGCATGGATCAGCTTTTCCAGCCTTTTAATCATGTTTGTAGCAGAAATCATCCCCCCTCTTTGTTTCTCCATCCTTTATTCCCCCACCTTCACCTTGTAGAGCCAGGATCGAGGTCAGCCACACTCAAACCTTAACTCGCCTTTGTTCCCACAAAGCTTTTTCCTTTTTTTTGCTGAGTAATAGTGAATATGTGGACTAAGTCCTTGTTTCTGCTCTGGGGAATAGAGCCAGGGTGGGTTGGCTGGGTGCAAACCCCAGATCTCAGGCCAACCCCTCCCAGCTCTGTTCCCCACTGACACATCCAAATCCCATGGGGTCCTAATCTCTGCAGCTCAGCACTGTGGCAGCACGAGACCCCGTTCCCAGGGTATCCAGCTGAGCCATTTTCATCCATGCCGGAGGGAAGGGCTTCCCAACGGAAGTGGATAACTGTGGGATCAGCCTTTCATGGAGCTGTGAATGGCTCTTAGGCAGCCAAGCGGCTCCAGGCATCAACACGGACCCAAGGCACATGATGGTCAGATGGGGTCCATGTCCCCCCCCGCCTGCCCGGGATCCCTGCGGCACCGGGCTCTGCAGTGTCCCGTTTAATCATATCTTTGATAATTCCTATTGGATCCCATGGTAAAACACCTTCCCTGGGGCTCTGGAGCTGGGACCCCTCCCAGTCCCAATGCGTGGGGCAACTTGATTCCTGCAGTGGGCGGGGTCCCGTGGGGGTCCCCAAGGTACATGGATACCCCAGGGTGTATGGATGACCCCCAGGGCACATGGATCCCTGTAGGACGTACAGGTGTGCAGGGCACATGGGACCCCTCAAGTCACAGAGTCCCCCGGGGCACACGGGACTCACAAGACATGCAGTCCCCCAGAGTGTCTCCATCATATGCAGGACCCCAGGACACATGGGGACCCAAGGTGCATCATTCCCCCAGGGCACAGAGGACCCCTATGGCACACAGCCCCCCAAGGTGCATGACACCAGGGATGCATGGACCCTCCCAGGGCATTTGGGACTCCTGGGCACATGGTGACCACAAGCAGTTGGGTCCCCCAGGGCCATCCTAGGTGTCTGGCAGCCCCAGCCTTGGCAGTGGCCCCCCTCGCTGCCGGGGTGCCACCGTCACGCAGGTGCCCACCCTCCTCGGGAGGAGGAGCCATGGGAGCCAGCTTTAAAACGGGGCAGAGAAAGGGCCCTTTCTTCCCCAGCACCCTGGGCCGGCAGGCGTGAGACTTGGGGCAGCGCTGGCACAGAGGGTGGCCGCCACGCCGGGGGGTCCCGGCAGGCACGTGACACCCCCGGCACACCCCACACCTCCCATCCCCGGTTCCTCCGCGTCCCCTCGGCCTTGCTGCCGGGTGCCACAGGAGCACTGGCGGGGTGCAACAGGGGCTTGGGGGGTCTGCGGGCGCCACAGGGGGCCCCGGGGCTGAGGCAGGGGCCATGTCGACGCTGGCCCCCCTGCGTCTGCTGCGCGAGCCCTGGAATGCCAGCGAGGGCAACCAGAGCAACACTACAGTCGGTACCAGCAGTGGCTGGTGCCAGGGTCTGGACATTCCCAATGAGCTGTTCCTGGCACTGGGGCTGGTGAGCCTGGTGGAGAACCTGCTGGTAGTGGCTGCCATCCTGAAGAACAGAAACCTGCACTCACCCACCTACTACTTCATCTGCTGCCTGGCAGTGTCCGACATGCTGGTGAGCATCAGCAACCTGGCGGAGATGCTCTTCATGCTGCTGCTGGAGCATGGGGTGCTGGTGATGCGCCCCAGCATTGTCCGCCACATGGACAACGTCATCGACATGCTCATCTGCAGCTCCGTCGTGTCCTCTCTCTCCTTCCTGGGGGTCATTGCTGTTGACCGCTACATCACCATCTTCTACGCCCTGCGCTACCACAGCATCATGACACTGCAGAGGGCCGTGGTGACCATGGCCAGTGTCTGGCTGGCCAGCACCGTCTCCAGCACCGTCCTCATCACCTACTACCACAGCAACACCATCCTCCTCTGCCTCATCAGCTTCTTCCTCTTTATGCTGATCCTCATGCTGGTGCTCTACATCCACATGTTTGCCCTGGCCCGCCACCACCTCCACAGCATCTCCAGCCAGCAGAAGCCACCCACTGCTCACCACAGTGGTAGCCTGAAGGGCGCTGTCACCCTCACCATCCTCCTGGGAGTCTTCTTCATCTGCTGGGGGCCCTTCTTCTTCCACCTCATCCTCATCGTCACCTGCCCCACCAACCCCTTCTGCACTTGCTTCTTCAGTTACTTCAACCTCTTTCTCATCCTCATCATCTGTAACTCGGTGATTGACCCCCTCATCTATGCCTTCCGGAGCCAAGAGCTCCGACGGACGCTGCGGGAGGTGGTGACGTGCTCCTGGTAGGCAGCGGGACGAGGCACCGGCATGGCCACCCCCGCCCCGAAGCGGATGGATGGACTAGTGAATGGACGGGATGAGCCGCGGGATGCCCTCGTCCGGGCTCGCAGCTCGCGGTTCCCAATAAAGGCGCTTTGCAGTGACTCTGTGGCTGGCATCGGGCAGCCCCGGGGAGCCCCGGGGGGGGGCGACCCCTCTCTGCCCCACTCCCGGCACAGTTGCCCCCAGTGGGGACCGGCTGGGACCGGGAGGAACCGGCGAGGAGGCGGTAGGCTGGTCTCCACGCGGGGGGCGGCCCCGGCCGCCCCCGGACAAAGGGCCCATCCCTGTCGTCTTTGTTCTCGGGCCGCGCCCGCCGCCGCCCACCCCGGCACCGGCCCTGTCCCCGGTGCCGCGGGGGCTCCCGGCGACCCGACCCCCCGGGGTGGCCCCTCCGTGCCTTGTCCCTATCCCCCCAGTTATGGGGAGCAGCTGGGGGTTGTCCCGTGTGTGTGTACCCCCCCTCCCCGCCGCTGCCGCTGCCGCTGCCACTGCCGCCGCCCCGGGATGCACCCGACGATGCCGGGCAGTCCCAGGGTGCCCCCGTGGGTCCCGAGGTGTCCCCGCTCCCGGTGGGTGGAGGGGGTACCCCCCGGCCGTGCCCCCCGCGGGTGCCGGGGGTCCCCGCTCCGCCGCGGCGGGGCGTGGCCGTGGGCGTGGCCGGGCGGGGCGGCCCGGGCGGTGTCGGTGCCGCAGGGTTGTTGCAGCGTTGCGGCGGAGACCGCTGATTGGCTGGGGGCGGCGGTGACGTCAGCGGCCGGCCCGGTGCGGCGGCGGGCGCCTATAAAGGCGGTGGCGGCGGCGGGTCCGCCCCCCGCGCTCCCGGTGCCGCTCCGCTCCGGTGCCGCTCCGCTCCCGGCCCCAGCCCGCTCCCATCCCGCTCCGCTCCGGCCCGGCCGCACCATGAGGGAGATCGTCCACATCCAGGCGGGGCAATGCGGCAACCAGATCGGCGCCAAGGTAACGGCGGCGCCGCCCCGCCCCGCCCGCCGCGGCGGAGCCGGGCGGCGGACAAAGACCGGCTCGCCCTCCCCTTCCCTGCCCTCCCCCCACTCCCGCCGCACCGGGAGGACAAAGCGCCCCGCCCCCTCCCGCGCCCCCCGCCCCCCCGCCTTTGTCCGTCAGCACCGCGGACAGCGCCCGCCCGGAGCCGCGCCCCGCCCGGAGCTTGGGGGATCCCGGTGCCCCTCTCCCTACTGAGTCCCGACCGGGATTTGGGGGGGTCTTGGTGCCTCTGCCCCGCCCTGACCGGGGATTGGGGGTTCCCGGTGCCACTCGCCCTGCTGAACCCCTCCTGGGGTTTGGGACGTGCTGGTGCACCCCCTCCTACCCTGCCTTTGCTGGGGTTTGGGGATCTCTGTGCCCCTGCCACACCCTGACCAGGGCTTGGGGAATCCCGGTGTCCCCTGCCCCGCTGAGCTTCGATCGAGGTTCCCAGTGCCCCTACCACGCCCTGCCCTAGGATTTGAGTGTTTGCAGCGTCCCTGTGCCCCCTGTTCTGCCCAGTCCTGGCCAGGGATAAGGGGGATCCCACTGCTCCCTGCCTCGCCCAGGGTTTTGGGGGTGTCTCAGTGTACCCCGCCCTGCTGAGCCCCCTGTCCCCCCCAGTTCTGGGAGGTGATCAGCGACGAACACGGCATCGACCCCAGTGGCAACTACGTGGGGGACTCGGACCTGCAGCTCGAGCGCATCAGCGTCTACTACAATGAAGCCTCTTGTAAGCTACCCCCCCACCTTTCCCCAGCACCCCGCGGGAAGGGCAGCCCGGAACCCCCACCCTGGGCTGCGGGGGGGCACCCCAGTCTGACCCCCCAGTGCAGCAGGAACTGAGATTATTGGGGCAGGGAGGGGGATCAGATAGATGTACCCACCCCATGGGGTCTAGAGGGGCACCCACCCCGTGAAACTCTGTGGTTTGCAGGGTTGGGGGCGGCGGGGGAATTATGTGCACTCAGTTCCATGGAACCCGGTGGTTTGGGAGGGGCACAACATGTACACCCACCCCATTAGACCCTGCGATTTGCACAGAAGGACACACACAACAGCCCTGTGAGACCCTGGTGCACACTCACCTCATCAGACCCTGTGGTTTGATGGGGATGGAGGGCACATGTACATCCAGTCCCATGGGACCCTGTGGTTTTGGGGGGAGACACAACATACGCACAGCCCTGTGAGACCCTGTAGTGTATGGAGGGGCATGACGTGCACACAGTCCCATGGGACCCTGTGGTTTGGGGGGAGTGTGACACTTGCACCCACCTTGTAGGACCCTGTGTTGTAGAGGGAGACATGACATGACACGTGCACCCACCTCACGGAGCTGGGGGCGGGGTGGGAGCAGACATGTGCACCCACCCCATGTGACCCCATGATTTGGGCAGTGCTTGAGACATGACCCCACTCCAAGAAACCCTGTGATGTGAGGGGGGACACAATCTGTGTGCCCAGCCCCGTGGCACCTCGCAGGGTGATGGGGGACACCACGGGGGTGGGGTGGGGGGGCGGTGGCAGGTGCCCTCCCTTCACGGGGTCTCTCACAGCTCACAAGTACGTGCCTCGCGCCATCCTGGTGGACCTGGAGCCGGGGACGATGGACAGTGTGCGCTCGGGCGCCTTCGGCCACCTCTTCCGCCCCGACAACTTCATTTTTGGTAGGTCCCTGAGGAGGGAGGACACCGCCCCCCTTGTCCCCTCCAGTCCCCTGCGTCTGCGGCCCCGCCCGACCTGTCGTCGTCCCCAGGGCACGCAGCAGGCGCTCCCCTCCCGCGCCGCGGGGCCCGGCACCTCTGGCATGCCGCCAAACCTCTGCGGTTCCTGCTTCCCACCCCGCCCCGGCGTCAGATGTCCCCGGTGCTGCCGGCGGCAGCGCCCAGTCCCAGCCCGATCCCCTCCCCGGTGCCCTCTGGCGAGGGTGTGGAGAGCCAATGGCAATCAGAGCCTCTTTTCCCAGGGCAGAGCGGTGCTGGGAACAACTGGGCAAAGGGGCACTACACAGAAGGGGCTGAGCTGGTGGACTCCGTGCTGGATGTGGTGCGGAAGGAGTGCGAGAACTGCGACTGCCTGCAGGGCTTCCAGCTGACCCACTCACTGGGTGGGGGCACGGGCTCAGGCATGGGCACCCTGCTCATCAGCAAGGTGCGGGAGGAGTACCCCGACCGCATCATGAACACCTTCAGTGTGGTGCCATCCCCCAAGGTGTCAGACACGGTGGTGGAGCCCTACAACGCCACACTCTCCATCCACCAGCTGGTGGAGAACACCGATGAGACCTACTGCATTGACAACGAGGCACTCTATGACATCTGCTTCCGCACCCTCAAACTGGCCACCCCCACCTACGGTGACCTCAACCACCTCGTTTCAGCCACCATGAGTGGTGTCACAACCTCCCTGCGCTTCCCTGGCCAGCTCAATGCTGACCTCCGCAAGCTGGCCGTCAACATGGTGCCCTTCCCGCGGCTCCACTTCTTCATGCCAGGCTTTGCCCCGCTGACGGCGCGTGGCAGCCAGCAGTACCGCGCCCTCACTGTGCCTGAGCTCACCCAGCAGATGTTCGATGCCAAGAACATGATGGCCGCCTGCGACCCCCGCCATGGCCGCTACCTCACCGTGGCCACTGTCTTCCGCGGCCGCATGTCCATGAAGGAGGTGGACGAGCAGATGCTGGCCATCCAGAGCAAGAACAGCTCCTACTTTGTAGAGTGGATCCCCAACAATGTCAAGGTGGCCGTGTGTGACATCCCACCGCGAGGGCTGAAGATGTCCTCCACCTTCATAGGGAACAGCACAGCCATCCAGGAGCTCTTCAAGCGCATCTCAGAGCAGTTCACAGCCATGTTCCGCCGCAAAGCCTTCCTGCACTGGTACACAGGTGAGGGCATGGACGAGATGGAGTTCACCGAGGCCGAGAGCAACATGAATGACCTGGTGTCTGAGTACCAGCAGTACCAGGACGCCACAGCTGAGGAGGAGGGTGAGATGTACGAGGACGACGAGGAGGAGTCGGAGGCGCAGGGTGCCAAATGATGCCTGACGCCGCCCCCCGACGCTGCCCACAGCCCCCCCCCGGCTTCGCGCTGCTGAACCCCCTGGGTGGTGCTCCCCCTGCCGTCCCCTCAGTGTCTCTTGACCACCTGCCCCCCTGAGCCAACTCGGCTCCCCACCCCTCCCTCTCGCCTCCCCCCTTTTCGTTTTTTACTGGTTCGTGTCTATTATTTTTTTTTGAATACTTAATAAATTTATTGCTGTCCAGGTACTACCTGTCTGTACTTCTGGGAGGGGGGACAGGGGACATGCCCACTGCTCAGTCACTGCAGCCATTCCCACTCGAGGGGGGTGATTGGGGAACCCCCCATACCTAAGCCATGACAATGCCCTTGGCCCCTTTGTCAGCCTGTGAGCACCCCCTGGTTGTGCACTGTACCCCATCCTCCTGCCCCACAGGTTCAACCCTCCAAGATCTGGGGGTGCAGGTGCCACTGAGGTGGACAGTG